GTCTACATCAACTATCTAACACATAATTAATTAATTAATTAGTTAGTTAGTTAGTTAAGTGAATAAATAGATGAGTGCGAATAAATATTAAGAATAATTGACTAATCTGTACCAAATCAGGTGAAACTTTACTGATTTGAGAACGTGCTTGATCAATCAATTCTTCTCTGTGAGCGATTACCAAAACTTTTTTTGCTTCTTTAAAAGGTGGTTCGATTCTTTTAATTAGATTAGAAAAGATTACCTTTTGGAACGGGGGTTTTTTAGTAAGATTGATTTAATGAAAAATTAATTCTTATTATTCTTGTAGTGATAAATACCGTTTTACCACTTCCTAATAATTCAGAAGCAAATAAAATTCATAATTAGTGAATCAATAATAAATTATAGTAAAAAACGAAACAATGGATGATTGGATTACCTACTGGCAAAGACACAACTTGTCTTCTAATTTTTCCATTTTTAAATTTCTCCAAGCATACTTCAATACATTCTTCTTGATACGGTCGTAATTTTAATGTGAAATGCCGTTTGTCTAATTCTTTTATCAACCTTGAAGTAAATCGTGTTGTTGATGTTGATTTTTGAATTGATTTTTTGTAGATGCAATTTTTTGTTAGTTTATTGAATAATAACATTCTATATTAATTTATTTAATTATAATTATAATTAGAATTTATACTACAAACCAGACTAAAAATTTGAACCCTGAAATTTTTGACTTTAGACTCCCAATAAAAATTGCATATTAATATATTTTTCAAAATTAAGAATGGTGGATACTGAGGATGTATGGGTTTCGGACGAAGATGATATAATTTTTGAAAAAAAAGTATCATCAAAAGAATGGGAAAGATTAAATGAAAATTTTGGAAATGTATGTAATAATCATAATCATATCATTATTAAGTTTCTTTAGTTATATGTATTTATGTATCTTAGGTTGGGTATAAAGAAGGAATTGTCGAAGGTAAAATACAAGACAAAGGCAAAATCAGATGACGTAATACCAATTCGATCAGTGCAGCCACTTCCAATCATAGGCGACAGGCTTGACACAGCAATAAAGGCGTGTGATAGTTGGGTAAAGTTTAAGTTTGGTAACAAGTTATCGTTTATCCTTGCATCACGTTTTACCAGATGGCGTAATCAGCCCATCACTAAACAACAATTGAATTGGATTAAGAAACGAAATCCACTGTTGACTGATGATAAATTGTGTCATTTGGAGAAGGGATCTGCCTCGAATCTCATGACGCAAATTATTGAGGGTGCGGAAAAAAATTGGGAAAAGTTCCAGAAAGAAAAAGGCAAAAAAGAAAAATTATTAAAAAAATTAAAATCTCAAACTGTTCATGTTGGTCCTTTAACTTGATTAATAGTTATTGATGCCAGTATATATAATGCAAATAATATTGATAATATATCAATATTGTTACAAGTATGTAAATAAAAAAATCAATGAAGGTTATTATTTTATAACTTGATTTTATTTTTTTGTGACACGCATTATTGAAAAAAAAATTAACAAGAAAGCTTTAAATAGTCGTACATCTTCCAAAATTATGTATAATGTGTATTTTAACTGCAAGCCTATCAAAAATAATCAATAACTTCAAATTATAATCATAAAGTTACCATATAAACTTCTTAATAATCAAAGTCACTCGTCATCCATCAGGGGATCTCATTATTAATATTAAAAACGCTTGATAAATTCAACAATTTTCTCTTTTTTATGGCGTGGACAATAGAGGCATAATATATAATCATTTATTTATATAGTGGTTAAAAAATAATGTAATAAATACCTTAATAATACATGTATTTAATAAATCACTTTTCGTGTTAATAGATTGTCATATACTGTAAATATATTATTGCATTATACAACGTGGATTTTTCAATACAGTTTGTTTGCACAGGGTCTGTTGATTAACATTTTTTTGGTGTTAAAAAACAGTAATGTTTTTCAATGCTATTTGACGCTCTAAAAATTTCCTGATGTAATTTGTAGAATGATTCCAACTATTAATTTGGTTTTTCAAAGCAAATAAAAAATCAAATATAATTATATGCTTTAAATCATTTTATTGTCACTAATATTTGCCTTTTCAAGGATGCAATATATATTTTGTTTAGAATAGATGAATGAATGAGATTTTTTATTATATTCTGAAGATAATAAAATCAATTTTTTAAAATTTTTAAAAAGAAAATTTGCAAAGATATTATAAAAATAAGTTTATATCTATTTCTAAAAATATTTATAATATATCAATTAATTGAAAAACCTCCAATATACTATATTTATATTATTATAAACTTTGTCCATCATCAACTTATAACCTTACCATATTTTCCAAAAAAAAATATCAGATCTACCAACTGAGAACTAGCGCACACAATTGCATGATCATAATCATTGTTAAATACATAACTAAGTTTTGCAGTATTAACATCATTTCTATTGCTAATATTAAATATAAAGCTTTCAGTTGTTTTTTTATACACAAAATCACCACCATTCCAATTTAATGAGTTGTAGCCACCAACTACTTGTTCTAGATTTTGTATTTTATCAATTATAAAAGTCTTATTGATATTGTCACATTTTTGATGAAATAATTTTTCATTTAAACCCTCCTTACTGCTATGATATAAAAGTTTAAATTTATATTTTATATCTTTTATTAAAGTATATTGTGGATTTTTTTTATCAACCCAACTTGCAAAAAGTAAAATAGCCTTTTTGCTAATAATTGTTGTTGAATCAATGGTTATTCTTGATTACAATAAATTTGATATTGATAGTTTGTCAGGAGCCAAATAATAACATGAAATATCTTTCCACAAAGTTGTAGGAAATAATTTTTTATATGGCATGATTTTGTCATTAAAATCCTCACTAGTAATATTCAGAAATCTAATTAAGGAGATAATATCTTCAAATATGTTTTCCAATTCTTTGAAATCATCTTCATTTTGCAAGCTTCATAGATCCTTTGACACTTACTTCAATCAAACCCACCTATATAATTATTGAATCAATTCTTTGAAGTCATCTTCATTCAATTCTGAAATATTTTTTTCTCCTACTTTTTCAATTTTTCCAATTTCCCATTGAATATACATGGTCCCCAAATATTAATTTCTTTTAAATTCAAAATGCCTTTTTTTAAAATAGATACTTTTCAATATTTCTGTAATCATTAAATTTTAAGAAATATTCTGCTGTATTATTAATCAAGCTTTCAAAATAATCTTAAGTATATTAAATGATTGATATCTGAATGAAGTTTGATATAGATTATTTAGATTTTCTGGAACCCATTCTTTCTCTTTTGCAATTAGTTGATTCTGCAAATCATCAAGTAATTCATTGAAATCTGATTTATTAAAATTTAATTCATCACACACAAGGAGAAGTTCAACAATTTCATTCGGATTCAAATTATCTATGTCAACAAATCCATTATAAACATGCTTTTTTTAAAAAACAAAGTTTTTTTATTTTAATAATTTTAGATCTACTGTATAATTAATCAAATTTAATCATTTAATTAAATTAAATTAAACTAATCTTACATTAAAATAATTCCAAATGTCTTTGGAGATATATTGTCTTTTTCAAATAAAAAATTATCATCTTCAGACTTTTTTGCCTAATTATTTGATAGGGCAGCCTTAAAATATGAGGACCTTGCTTTTAAAATGCACGAATGAGCATTGAAAATTCTAATGTCATCCTGTTCTGCTCTAATTTTAATTCTGTATCATAAAAATCTGATCCAATTAACATTTTTTTTAGATCATTTGTAAGCTTATTAACATGATTTGAAGGTAAAATAATTTTGTTGGAATTGAAAAGGCTGCTACTATATTAATCATTTTAAAATTTTGCGTTAGATTTGATTTATTATTACTTACTAACTAGATCTTGGACTAAACAAAATAACAAGCAATAATAGTTATAATAATACTTACTTGTATACGGGAAAACATCCTTGATGATCGATGCAGCCTCAATAAACTCCAGGGCCCGTATTACCCCTGGAATTCTGTTGCATCATTGTATCATCGATCCATCAGGTCAGATTAGCCTTGTGCACATGAGGAAGATGTGAGAGAATGGCTGTAAAGTGTTCAAGGTAGTATGCGTGCTTCAACACTTGCCAATTTCTGATAATCAAACATCGCATATTTGAATTGTTTCTTTTGCAACAGTCAATGCTGCCTTGACATCTTGTAATTATATATTAATAATAGTATTATTACGATTACAAAAAGCAAAATATTATCAATGAAAATCTTGTAATTACCCAGCAAGATCTGCTCCGCGTTTTGATTTCCAATTAAAATGTTTATAATAACCAAAAATGTCAATCAATACAAATAAAAAAAAGTACCTCTGGTTAGTTATTAACACGTTTTCTTTAGGAGACCCAAACCATACCAAACAACAACACTCACGTTTTGTCATCTTGGACTCTGTCAAAAAATAAATTGTTTTTCCAAGAAAAAAAAAAAAAATCATTCGCGTCTGTCCTACCAAAAAAAAAACCAATATATAGGATAAATAATTAGTGTGTACGCGTCAAATAACAAAATTTTTAATTTCTTATGCAAAAAATTAAAAATGTCTGGTAGAACGGACAGAAAAAGAAAACAAACCAATGGTGTTGCGGAGGATCGTGGGTAAGCGTTTTAAGGATAGTGGTGGTGGCTATTGCCCGCCACTCGTCGTCACTCTAGTTTAATTAATTAATTTTAAAAATTTTTTTTTTTTAAAAAATGACCATCTGTAAAGACAAGAAAAAAAAGAAATCGAAAAAGTTTTTGAGTAAGTATTATTATTTTTTTTTAAAGGTGGTAGTGGTTGTATACAACTACTGCCACTACTACAGCTACTCTAGTTCACATAAAAAACAGACTGAATTAAAAAATTTTTTTGTATATATATACTTGTTTAATACAATCTAGTAAAACATCATCTTTACAATCACCTCTCAAAGAAACTAATGAAAACCATACACAAGTATAATCATATTATTTATTTCAATACATTAATATTTAGTATACCACACAAATAGCAATTAGCCCTATCATAAGGCTTATTCGGTGGCACTACTTCTCTATCAACTGGCTTAAACTCCTTAAACAAATCACATCCAAATATATTCCGGGCAACTGGTAAACACAACTGCAAACACAGCACATGAACTTTCAATTATGGTCAATATTGTAGATATTAATCCGATCTTTACAAAATAATCATTCTCTTTAGAAATTGGAAGAAAAGATAAAATATTTAGAAAATAAAATTGTCAAATTGAAAAATTCAAAAAAAAAGACAGGTAAAAGATTTCACAATACAAATTCTGGGTTATATACATTGGTGATAAAATTAACTTTCATCCATTCCATTTGACATATTACCTGCACAATATTATCATCTATCTTTTTTTATATGTAAATTATCTGTCTGTATTATGTATGGTTTTACAATATTACTAACTCTTCTACTAGTTCTAGCAGACAAAAATACTTATGAAGAAATGGAGCAAAAAATCAAGCGTATCTCAAAAATGAAAACACCATCATTGTTCTGTAAACCAAAAGAAATGTTGAAGGTTCAAGAACCTTTTATTTACAATCACAGACCACATTCAAGCACTCCAATTACATTATACCATAGAGTGTTTGCAACTTTTCAAGCAAATTGTCATGAACTTAAAATTACAAAAGATGATTGTAGATCAGTCATAGAATTAGTTAAATTGATGGAAAAAGTTTTTAAGTATGAAAAAGAAAGAAAATCAGAGTTCAACTTGTGGCTGTCAAATTATTTTAATGAACCTGTTGACAAACTACCATTTCCTGCTGACCATCAAGAAGCTGATATAGGCTCTGTTGTTATCATTGGACAATTATCATTTGTACTCCTTATCGGTGAAATAAAAAATGAGATTGGGGAAGGAGGCGGATGTGCATATGTGCAGGCTTGCGCATCTTATGCAAAACAAGTTGCTTTGAACAGAAATAATGTAATATGTCAAGGTCTTAACCCCGCTTTCCTTCTCTATCTTGCAGGTCCTTATCTTGGCATTGGTGGAGCTGTTTTAGGCAAGGAATTCACAATGGAACCTCTCACGCCAATGTTCCCACTTTTATTTATGAAGAATGACTTAAGTGCAATGGAATCATTAACTCATGCCTTACTGGCATTGAAAGTTGGGATCAAAGAATTAAAGAATTATTATCTGACATGTTATGAACAAATTCGATGTATTGAGAACAATGCTCTCTTGCGGCCTGAAAACTTTCCACAAATTTGTCAGTTCATGATAGGAGAAACAAGTTTTACTTTTTCTT